CATGAACAAGGATGAAAAAGTGTTTTTCTTTCAATAAAACTACTGTCGCAGTCTGGATTTAAATAAGCAAATACTTAAGATTTTAGAATTTAATCATTATTGCAGTGTTTAATATGTTTCTGGCATGTTGTATGTTTGGCAACAATTCTTTTAACCATAATTGATGCTGTGCATAGCTTTTTATTTCTCAAAAAAGCATGTCTGAAGATGTACCCATGTCCGTATTCCATGATGACACAAATGTCAAGATTCATTGGGCTTTAACCCACTGAAAGTCTTTGGGATGTGCTGGAGTCATCATTACACTGCCTGACCAAAAGAAAGTTGCACACTCTAGTGCTTCGTAGGACCGACTTTAGCTTTGATAACATTGTTGTGGCATTGTTTCAACAATGTTATGCAACATTATAACATTTATTTCCATCAAGATTTGCATACATTTTTGGCCGAGATCAAAACTTTTTTTATTGGTTGCATATGGTCATTACCTGAGCCAATGTAATTGTCATTTTCCACAATTTTTCAATTTTTTTTTACAGTCTATATATTCATGAATACTTTTGTTCTCTTGATATCACTTAAATGGCCTGAATAATGTTATGTTGAATTTTGTTTTTGACATTTTATTTTATCAGTTAAGATTTTGTTCAAAATTGTGATGCTGTAAATCTTACTTTTTCATTTTCAGTCATATACTCTAACTGTTTGGTGTTTTTTCTGAGCTATGTTTGTGATTGTGAGTTTCAATTTGGTTTGTGGTGTGTAATGTGACTGTATTTTGAGAGGACCTACAAGTATATGGGCATGTCTGTATGAATCAGGTCACTGACAACAGGTTACTGTTACTGATATTCGCTGTCTTGCATGTACAATCATCTAACGATTTAAAACATATTAAAATCTATTCAATTTTTTACACACATTTACTCCAGTTGAGCCATCTAAAGGGAATTTGAATGTCTTCTGTAGTATCCTGCAACTCCTTCCTGAACGTAGAAGCTGTTATTCCAGGTGCAGCACATGTGAGCTGTCCTTAGTGTAGCTACAGTAATCCTTATCAATACCTTCCTTTTTTTTATTTTGTACTGAGTTTCCCAAAATTTAAATGATTTAGATGTTTGAAGATATCTGTAATATCCTACAATATTTTATTTTTTCAGCATTTCATGAAGTGAGTCTTCAAAACTGCCCAGTCAATATTTTATTTTAATTAAAGTGGCAGACATGTAGTGACAAACAACATATGCATTCATCAAAAATGTAAAATATTTCAAACAAATTCAACATGATACTATAACTCCTAACTAAATTCTGAACTTAAATTCTGAACTTCTGTCTAACAAAATACAATAATTTCTACAACAAAACAGAATAAAAAGTAGCTGATGATACACCATCCATCTCGTTTCCAAGTCAACGTTTAATGACCATTGATGACTTAATAAACAACCATATGATTTAGACAATGCTGTCTAATTTCCTCAATGTCTGTTCTCCCCTTGGGTAGGCTATATACTCTTTCCTCCTGCCATGGTTT